GATAAACAAATCTAGCTGATTTGTACCAAAGAAAAAACAAATCTAGCTGATATCGTTGTTGAATCTAAGAACAGTAGTGGTTAGTAGCGGTGTGGTGGTTGTTATTATTTATTTTTTTAACGATAAGTAATAAAACATAATATTTAATATATATTTTTTAAATAATTTAATAATTAAAACGAAATCAAAAAAATAAATAAACGACTAAATACATAATTTATCCTTTATAGATAAACAAATCTAGCTGTTTTGTACCAAATAAAAAAACAAATCTAGCTGATATCGTTGTTGAATCTAAGAACAGTAGCGATGTGCGTGTATCTCTGTCCTGTCTCAGCCACGAAGAAGGAGTTCGACTTGGTGGAGGCTATTTCCCATAACTCAGAACCAACAAACACCAATTTCACGTACATCCTCTGTCTCTCTCTCTTGTCTGGGTATATGTTCATCTCTTCAACTGTGTTTTAGATGGATTATGAAGCAACTGGTTTATATACACTTTGGATGAAGCCCTTGAAAGCTTGGGGTTTGGGAAATTCCAAGCCTTTGCTCTTGGATACGCTGGGCTAGGTTGGTTTGCTGAAGTAATGGAGATCATGATTCTTTCCTTTATAGGACAAGCTGTTAAGTCCGAGTGGCAACTCACCTCCACTCAGGAGAGCCTAGTAAGCACCATTGTCTTTGCCGGGATGCTCATCGGTGCCTATACTTGGGGCATCTTGTCAGATAACTATGGCAGGAGGCACACTCATTACTTCCCTTTCAACTCTTTCTTTATTAATTAATTAATTATTCTCTTTTGATTTGTGGTTCAGTCTGCTTGAACTCTTTGTTTTGATTTCAGGAAAGGGTTTCTGGTTATATCAATGGTAACTTTTGGAGCTGGATTCTTGAGCACCTTCTCTCCAAACTATTTATCACTTGTTGTTCTTCGGGGTTTGGTTGGTTTTGGCCTTGGTGGTACATCTGTATTCTTATCATGGTTTCTGGAGTTTGTTCCAGCCTCTAATAGAGGCATGTGGATGGTTGTGTTTTCAACTTTCTGGACATTTGGATCTATTTTTGAGGCTTCTCTTGCATGGGTATGTATATTTCCTATAACCCCATTTAAGGCAATTTTTACCATTGCCTGTTCTACATGTACCTAAAGTTAGTGTGTTTTTAACTTGGTCTCTTCAACTTATGGGGTGCTTAGAGCTTGAATCTCACATATTTATAAACTACAAGAAAAGGCACATGAAAATATAGGTGATGCCGTGGTGTGCAGCTATGAACCCAGGCACAAGCTGTGTAACGGTCACATCATCACGTTTTTTTCAAAGTCACTGCAATACTGCAACAACATCCGCAATCTAAAATCATAGTTATTTTTAGGAAACAAATCAAGCCGGAACGTCAGCAACATCCTCAACGACAATTTAGTTCTATGCTAGGCACTCACAGTCCAAATTAAGGAAGTGCTCTGATAAGGTTCACGATCAGGCACGTAAGAAGCAATCCTAACATAAGCTTCCTTTTCCCCCTTTAGTTTGATTGACTTCCTTTTCCCCCTACCTTGAATCTCTTCCTTTGTTGAAGAGCTTGCAGGTAAGTTGGATTTCGTTTGATGTTCTGCTGGATTATAGTTCTTGCCTTGTTTGAATGCATTTGTCAATTCAATGAAGCAAACAATTTGTTTCTTAAAACCCATATATCCTATGCATATTTGATGCAAGACTAAGAAATTTTGTTTGTCTGGTTAGGCTCTGCCATTTGGAACCTGATTGGTGCTGTGTGTAAATTTTTATTCTCTTTGACCCATGGTGGTGGAATATTATGTCTCTTGATTTTCTCCGATTTTTATCTTAAAATTTATCTACATGTATAACTACTAAGTTGCAATTGTGGTGGCATGTCTATCTAGCCATTATCATTTAATGATAAAATAGAGTACCAGTATAACTAGATGAATTTGTTATCAAGAAAGAAGGATGCCCAAGGAAAATGAGCCCATCTCTGTGTAAGAGAGCTCTTGTATTCTTTTGCCATCATGAACGAAGTTCTCTGTCATTAAAAGGGTTGTGTCATGGCAAAGATTACATTCTTTACCTTGTCATCTCTTTAGATTTTGCAGACAAAGGCTTCTTAACTGAAAGTAAGAGGCACCATCTCTATGATTAATGTGGTAAATTCCTCTCCTCTTTGTTACTTGGTCCAGTTCTTTTAGATGCTAAAGTGTTATTCACTATTATAATACCTTATAAAGTTTTATCAACAAATAAACTTATCTGAGAATTGGAAATTTCCTTGATATTGAACTTAAGTGTTGCTGGCTAGCTGCTCACTTATCTGAGAACTGAAAATTTCTTGAATTTTGAACTTAAGTGTAGGTGGTTAGCTGCTCAAACTTCACCTGTGAATTGTTGACACAAATTTTATCTTTAAGTGTCAGAATGATTTCATGTCCTACCTATTGCAGGTTGTCATGCGCAGATTAAACTGGAGGTGGGTACTTGCATTTTCGTCAGTGCCATCTTTTGCTCTGCTTCTTTTGTTTGGTGTTGCACCCGAGTCTCCAAGATACCTATGCATGAAAGGTCGAACAAGCGATGCACTTCGAATTCTGGAGAAGATAGCTTCAGTGAACCAAACAAAGCTTCCTCCTGGTGTCCTGGTTTCCGGTACATCAAGTTACAAGGACGAAGAGTCTGCACCATCGACATCAGAAGATACGAGACCATTACTTCCCCCACTGAGTGACAATACCAAGCAATCAAAATCAGGCTTCTCATCTTTTTTCATGCTCTTCTCATCAAAATTAATCAGAACAACACTACTCCTGTGGGTATTATTCTTTGGAGACTCATTTTCATATTATGGTATCATACTGCTTACGTCAAAGCTAAGCAGCATTCAAAGTGGATGTTTCCAATCTCTTCATACCACTAGAAATCTCCAGGGTGCTGACCTCTATACAAATGCATTCATCACTAGTATGGCAGGTACTGTGTCATCCATGCGTCCTTTATGCTCTTTTTTGAAATAAAACTTGACCTTAGTGTATGTTGCAGAGCTTCCTGGGCTTTTTCTTGTCAGCAATATTGGTCGATAGGGTTGGCCGCAAGCAGTCTATGGCACTGATGTTTGGCTTAACATTTATTTTTCTTCTTCCCCTGCTAACCCATCAGCCTTCCGTTTTAACTACTTTCTTATTATTTGGAGCTCGCATGAATGCAGCGGGAACCTTTACTGTTGCCTGTATATATTCCCCTGAGGTAAAGCCTTTAAATAATATTCGCATAATGACAAAAAATCTCCTAATATTTGATTAAATAATCATTTTAGTTCTTAAATTTTATTTTGAGGCAAAATGATCCTTAGTTGGATAGAAATCATTAGTTTAATAATGATCAATGTCTGTCGTTGACTTGACAAGTCCTATGTGTCCAAAATGATGATCTAACACATGTCACATGTTTAAAGTGATAACGTGGTACATACCACATATATATATAATAAATGATAATGTAGTACATTACACATGTATATAACTGATGACATGACACATAGTACATGTGTATAAGTGATGACATATCACATATATCATCACTTTGAATTCATAAGACTCGTCACGTCAGCAACATATAACCATTAGTCAATTAATGTTTTTCATCTATCCATAGATATATTGCCCCCAAAATGAAGCACTAAGTGTGGAAATATTTTTTTTTTAAAAAAGAATAAGAGTTAAGTAGCTAATTTGTTATACACATAACTAAAGCTGCTGTTTTGCTGTAGTTATATCCAACATCGGTGCGGACAACGGGTGCTGGAGTTGCAAGTGCTGTAGGAAGAATTGGTGGGATGGTATGTCCTCTTGTTGCAGTGGGATTGGTGAATGCATGCCATCAAACAGCGGCTGTGGGGCTGTTTTTGGCTGCTATAGTTGTTTCAGTAGTTTGTATTCAACTCTTCCCCTACGACACCAAGGGACGGGAACTTAGTGATACCAACTGATCATAAGTAATTAATTTCTAAGCACAAATACCTGTGTTGATATTTGAACTGTGGGTGGAAATATATAGAGACGTAAGACACATACCTGTGTTGAGAAAATGTTATGATTCTACTCTTGTTCATTTTTCTACTTAATTCTGATGATGGGATTATATTGTAAAATTGGTTTGTTGTGCACATTTCTTTTCTTAAATAAAGTTGGGGGAGTACTGTTAATCCTTTTGTAAAATTTATACGGGCGGTTAGATATTGACTTAAATTTTAATTACAAATTAAGCTAGATTTTATCGTAATTTTATTAGTTGAAGATTATTTGATGATTAAGTTAATTTCATTAAGAATTCTTATGAAACGAGGATTCTTGAGGACCAAATATATAGTCAAATAGAATATAGGTCTTAACCTTTACAATTATGAGGATGAATTATTTTAGAAAATATAATATTTTCATAGTCTCTACAACTTTTGAGATTTATTTACCTTACATTTACATAGATGAGTTTTGTATGGAAATTAAAAGATTGATTTGAGATACATCAAGTAATGATATAAATGATATCTTAGGATACATGAAATATCATATATTTGTCTCATTCTTGATTTTCACATTTATGGTATATTCTTCTTCTTCTCATATGTTGAGATAAACAAAGTTGAACTATATTAAATTTCACCATTTATGTGATCTTTTCTATGTTGACTGTATTTTACTATTTTATAGATTAAACTTGAAAAAATTAAAATAAAATTTAAATTTAAAAATAAAACTCATCAATTTAACTGAATTAATTTTTTTTTGACTCGATGCGATTTAATATAATAGTCTTACTCAATTGTATACATTTTACCCATTTCACCAAAGGTGTATGCTATTGGGTTGGGCTTGGGTTTTGAGTCGAGGAGATGAAAACAGTGCAAGGCGTCTCCCTTTTCTTTGCATTCATACACTTTATCCCTTTCCTTATCCAAATCTCCCTCGCTTTCCTTTGATTTCTTAGTACAGGCAGCAGGACTCTCTAATGGGTATGGCGGTTACAGCAACGGCTACCATGACCACGGGATTACACCTTAATGCTGCTCTCAATCATAATCAGACTTCTTTTCTGGGAGCTCCCTTGAGGCTTTCAATCCCCAATCCTCGCCCATCTTTGCCCTCTCTCTTCCTCAATGTTGAAGCCAAAGCTCGCACCAGAACTGAAGATCGTCAAGCCCGCCATTCTCGAATTAGGAAGAAGGTTACTTCTTACTGTGTCTTATGTGTTTAAAGCTAATCCCATTTCTTGCAACAATTATACTCCCATTAAGAAAATGGAAGTGCCTTTCACATTTATCCCTATTTCTTATCTTATCAAGTACTGTTTGCCTTTCAAATTTACTCATTTATTGATGATGTTATTTCTCATGTTTGCTTTGGAACCAGATGGGGCTTATAATTTTGCCCATTTACCAAATGCTGTGGTGAAACTCAGAAACGAACATAAGATTTTTCAATAGAAAATAAAGAAATACTTATATGAGAATTTGAAATTTCGAAATTTCCAGGGTGCAACGCAGCCTAAAACTTTGTAAGGGCAATTCTGTATTCTATATACCAAAGAGGCAAATAAGAGCTTTGGTGTTCTCTTATTCTTATATGTAAGAAATGGTTAGGGTAAAGAGTTTTTCTTTTATAAGTTAGAAAAGGCCGGATGGGCAGATAAATGGATTTGATTCTAATATAATGGAATGTATTAGCTTTGGTTCCTAGGATTTAAGTCCTTGACCCTGCAAAGTAGGGATGGATGAGAGATTTTATGTCCGGGGTGTGAACTTGAAAAGTTACATTGGAAATCTAGAGGTTACGAAACTACAAAATTTCAGGGGTACAAATTAAATCGTCAATAGAAAATATAAAGAAAATACATAATTTATATGAGAATTTGAAATTTCTAGGCGTGCGACCGTATCCCCATCAACCTCCTCGGTCCATCCCTGATGCAAAGTATCACATCTTACTGCAGGGGTTTCTTGCTTTTGTAGGTTGAAGGAACACCAGAAAGACCAAGACTCAGCGTCTTCCGCTCCAACAAGCATCTGTATGTCCAAGTCATTGATGACTCAAAGATGCACACACTTGCTTCCGCTTCAACAATGCAGAAACCGATTTCTGAGGAGTCCAACTACTCATCTGGTCCAACCATTGTGAGTTCATAGATGCAAATTAAGTCAGTTGTATCATTTTACAGTTTTCTTACCCGGCTTCGCATATTGCTCTGGGGGTTTTGTTTGGACTGCTTTTACTTCTACAATTCAAGTGCTTCTTATATGCTGTTATGTACATTTTGTTGGTGTGTTTCTTATTTCCATGTGGTCGAAAAGAAACACCAAAATAAATAAATAAGCACGCTTGAGTTCTCTTGGTGATTATTGTTCCTGGTAGAAGAGAAATGAAAAATAAGAAATGGTATTTAAGCATCTCGACCGACTCGAATATTATGCGTTTTTGAAATTGTGGATTACCCCCAATTTGCTACTTCCTCTTAGAAGTAAGGTTAGCTGGTCATGCACTTTTGAGTATTGCTTGTTGAGTCCGTCAGATTCTACGTTTCTCCTTTGCACGTGATCATATCCATATGGATTTGTAGGCAAGCTCTGCAGGTCATTTCACGACATGCTTCATTTTGTTTCTCTGGACCTTCACTTATTAGTTGCCGAATCCTGTACGATGCGTTGTTCATGGTTTGAAACACTTCCTCATATTTGATAAAAGTGCCTTAAGTTTTCGATATTCTGGCTTCAGGAAGTGGCGAAGAAGGTAGGAGAATTCATTGCGAAATCTTGTCTTGAAAAAGGCATCACGAAGGTGGCCTTTGACAGAGGCGGATATCCGTATCACGGACGCATACAAGCCCTTGCCGATTCAGCCAGGGAGCACGGCCTTCAATTTTAAACCTTGAGCAGTTAGTCTTCTTGTGAACTTTCTTTTTATTGTTTTCTTTCTTATCCTTCAACTAAACTGCATTAAGAATGCTCTATCTTATCATTGTTAGAAATGTAATTTGATCACTATTATGCTTCTCTCATGAACTCATTGTTGATTTTGTTAAAAAAAAGAAAGAAAAAACTCGTTGATAAATTGATTAATCTTGGGTAAAATGAGCATGTTGTACCAAAGGTCTGTTTCGGGGGTGTGAATTTGGAAATAATGGTGAAAAGATAAGTTCAGTGACCTTATTATGATAGTCCGAGCTGTAATATTATGTTTTTTTTCCATCTAATTTTGGTTAAAATAAACCAAAGATTACTTAACTATGTTAGAGTGATTATTTTAGTCTTTAAACTTTTAAAAATCATAAAGTGACTGTTAAATTTATCTAAGTATTACAAAATGATCACTATAATATTATAATACTTGTAACAATTCGATAAATTTAATGATCATTTTATAACAGTTCGATAAAATTTTATGACCATTTTGTAACATTTTGATAAAATTTATTGAACGTTTTATATTTTTTGGGAATTTAGTAGCTAAATCTATCATTTAAATATAGTTTAGTGACCTTTCATATATTTTACCCTTTTTATAAAAATAATTGTCTAAACTACATTTTTTTTTTTACTTTAGGCCTCTAAAGGTTTTTTTAAACCAAAGTAGGGAACTAACGTTTTATTATGTTATCATTTTAAGGTTGAACTATTTCATCAACATCGCATCGAATCAACAACCACCCACCCAATCACTTATTTCATCAACATATTTTTATTACTCGATTGTCCCTTTATCGTCACACGAAATTTCTAAATCTTTCAATTAGTAAAATATTAAATCCCTCACATCGCATCGAATCAACAACCACCCAGCCATTCACTTATTTCATCAACATATTTTCATTACTCGATTGTCCCTTTATCGTCGCATGAAATTCCTAAATCTTTCAATTAGTAATTTATAAAAATTATTAAATCTAAAAAAATCATAAATATTTTACGTTGTCACCGTCAAATCAATAACCATCACCCACTCTTCTATTGATAAACCCTATAGGTTGTCTCATTTTTTCTTCACTGTAAATCGATGAATGAGACATCACAAAACTAACAACTAAATACTTTTATCGACGAACGACACATAAACGAATATTGATGAAATGAGATGAGAAAATTTACAAGTTATTAATTGTTATAGCGATGAGATGACGTTTGACGATGACACATAGTGAGAGAAGATTTTTTTTCTTCAAAATTTTAAGATTTTTTTAAAAAATAAAAATGTAAGGTTGTTTGAAAAATTAAAGATTTTAAATTTCATTTAAAAGATTAAAATTTTTAAGATTTTTTAAATTAAAATATTCAAATACATTTAAAATTAAACCGAGTATCAAATAATATTAGATGAAATATTTTTCTTAATAATAGTCAATAGATCGATCTTTGAATGAAATATTAGATACTTATTTTTTTTTTAAATTTAAAAAACAACTCATACTAAAAAGGGTAAACTACATGTTTAGTGTTTATACTGTTTCTTTTGTTATATTTTAATACATAAACTTTTTTTTTAAAAATCGTATCTAACATTTAGTTTATATTTCAATTTGGTACCCTGCTGTTAAAAATTTAACGGTGATGTTGACGTGTCACCATAAGATAATACCTCGTTATCATTAAAAAAATAAAAATGTTACGTTAGCAATTTTGTTAATTTTTTAATGCGTTGTACCAAATTGAAACCCAAACTAAACATTAGACATAGTTTTGAAATAAATAAAGTTTGGATGCCAAAACAGAACAAAAGTAATAGATTAGGTGCTAAATATGTAATTTACTCATAATAAAATATATATTTTAAAAAAATTACACTATTCGAAATCTACCGGGTGATTCGAGTTTTTTTACTTCTCATGTCATATAGTCGGGATTGTCTCAGGAAAGGCGGGTTAATATACGGCTAATATACGGCAGTACCGGATACATTAAAATGTATTTAATAAATTCGGTTTAGCGGTACCTATTATGTTGACAACTAATAATGTTTTAGGTAGAAAATATGAAAAACTATTAAAAAATTTGGTAACCGGTAAACTTTGGTTATCGGTAAGTATCTATCATTTTTATAAAAGTGTCCATACTTTTAACATATCAAGTAAATTTTACTGGTTTTGTCATAATGAATATGGTTTTGTCATATTTTTACCTGTTATATTGTAAAGTATCTATCCTTTTTATAAAAGTGTTCATACTTATTTCACTGTGAAAATATATTTATTATTATCTTTGGTTAATATTGTTAAATTTAAATTCTAAATAATATTTTATAAAATATCAAAACAATCAAATAATTTTGTGTGTAAATGAAATTATTAAATTAATATTTGTAGGTGGAAAACATGAAACACTATTAAAAAAAATTGAAACATAAATTACATAACTTTAAAAAAGTATATATCATTTTTATAAAAGTGTCCATACTTTTTCAATGTGGAAAACATATTTATTATTATCTTTGGTTAATATTGTTAATTTAAATTCTAAATATTTTATAAAATATCAAAAAATCAAATAATTTTGTGTAAATGAAATTATTAAATTAATATTGTAGGTGGAAAATATGAAACACTATTAAAAAAAATTGAAACATAAATTACATAACTTTAAAAAAAGTATATATCATTTTTATAAAAGTGTACATACTTATTTCACTGTGGAAAACATTTTTATTATTATCTTTGGTTAATATTGTTAAATTTAAATTCTAAATAATATTTTATAAAATATCAAAAAATAAAATAATTTTGTGTTTAAATGAAATTATTAAAATAATATTGTAGGTGGAAAACATGAAACACTATTAAAAAAATTGAAACATAAATTACATAACTTTAAAAAAAGTATATATCATTTTATAAAAGTGTCCATACTTATTTCACTGTGGAAAACATATTTATTATTATCTTTGGTTAATATTGTTAAATTTAAATTCTAAATAATATTTTATAATATATCAAAAAATCAAATAATTTTGTGTGTAAATGAAATTATTAAATTAATATTGTAGGTGGAAAACATGAAACACTATTAAAAAAATTGAAACATAAATTATATAACTTTAAAAAAAGTATATATCATTTTTATAAAAGTGTTCATACTTATTTCACTGTGGAAAACATATTTATTATTATCTTGGTTAATATTGTTAAATTTAAATTCTAAATAATTTTATAAATATCAAATAATCAAATAATTTTGTGTGTAAATGAAATTATTAAATTAATATTGTAGGTGGAAAACATGAAATACTATTAAAAAAAATTGAAACATAAATTATATAACTTTAAAAAAAGTATATATTATTTTTATAAAAGTGTCCATACGTATTTCACTGTGGAAAACATATTTATTATTATCTTTGGTTAATATTGTTAAATTTAAATTCTAAATAATATTTTATAAAATATCAAATAATCAAATAATTTTGTGTGTAAATGAAATTAAATTAATATTGTAGGTGGAAAACATGAAACACTATTAAAAGAAATTGAAACATAAATTACATAACTTTAAAAAAAGTATATATCATTTTTATAAAAGTGTCTATACGTATAAAAGTAGGTCTAAGTCATGAAGAAATATTAAAACGATATACCAGGTAAAAATATGATAAAACCGGTAACAAATGATAAAACCGGTAAAACATTACCGGATATATTGAAAGTGTCGATACTTTATAAGGATCGACACTTTGTGAATTTAAAAGAGAAGCAGTTTTAGCGCTTATAATGTGTCGATACTTTAAAAAATATATCGATCCACAACGATATAACAGGTAAAATATGATAAAACAGGTATCAAAATGATAAAACCGGTAAAATGGTACCGGATATATTGAAAGTGTCGATACTTTCGTAGTACGTGTAATAAATTATCGACACTTTCAAAGAAATAGGTAATTATCCTTTCGAAAGTATCGACACCTGACATAAAAGTATCGACACTTTTGTATTTGTATCGATTAAATATAAATAACATATCCGATCAAATATAAGCTAAATCTCCTCTGAAAATAGATAGAACGAACGAGTTTTGAAAGCGAAGCGTAATTGTTGCTGCATTTCAGAAGGCGTTTCTAAAGCGAAGTTTGTTTGTTTGTTGCTGCAGTCGAATCGAAAAGTATGTTGTCGAAACCCTAATTTTTTATTATTACAGTAATCGCGATAGGGTTTTTATGTGTTGTTTGGGTTTTGTAGTAAAGAAGCATTTGGGAACGATTGCAGGTAGAAAGTGATATTCAAGGAAAAATATAAATGTCGATACTTTTATTAAATATATAAGGTAGAAAATGATATTATAGGTTGTATAAAATGTGTCGACACATTTTGGTGTGGCCATTCAAATTCTTTTGAAGAAAACCGTTTTACCACAAGAGTAGTTATCTATATTTGTATATTGAATAAAGTGTATGTAACAAAATAATTGATTTGCGTAAACTGATATGAAGGAAAAATGGAGTCAATGGGTTGGAAAATTGTTGATGGAGTAGATGACTTTGAAATTGAGGCCGAGACTCGAAAGCAACCCAAGGGTGGATATATGTACTTCTAGTAAGTATCAATGTCTTTTTGTTATTATTGTTGAAATGGTAATTGGATTAAAGTATCGATAAACTTTAAATTGATTACAAATTTTAAATGTTGACAATATGGCCGAATGCAAAATGATGAAGGAAGATGGCACACAGAGCGGTTCGGTATGTAAAATGAAATTGACATTGACATTGAGTAGTATTTAGTGTTAATGTATTGATTAAGAAACGTTTATGTTTTATATTAGGTGACAAAAGATGTGAGGTCCAAATGGAATTCACCGAGTGATGCTGAAAAGGAACCTTACATCACACAGTCAAGGAATGATAGTAAAGAATACAAAGAACGGAGGAAAGCACATGAAAATAAGGTATTCATTAAACTTGTAAATATGTTGATACAAAATATATAAGAACTATAACATTATATATTGTTAAAAAATGTAGGAAGTGTCGACAATATGCAGTATTAAAAGGGTGAATTTATTAATTAAACACCT